GGGACGCCTTTGAGCGCGGCACGCTCGGCGCGGCAGGCACCTTTAGGATGGCTCCTTCCCCTCCCCCGCCCCGGCCTTTGCTTTCGTGGGGGGGATGCGTGTGCCGGTGTGTGCTTTCTGTCGGGAGGGGGAGGAGGGCACGTACGATGCCGCTGCTCACAGCGCATGGACGATCCTTTTGATAAACCCCTGGCACACGACGTGCGGTGGTTGCACAGGGCCGTAGCCGGTGCGTGTGCTGCAGGCTTCGGGGTTTTCCCCTCCCCCGCCCCGGCCTTTGCTTTCGTGGGGGGGATGCGTGTGCCGGTGTGTGCTTTCTGTCGGGAGGGGGAGGAGGGCACGTACGATGCCGCTGCTCACAGCGCATGGACGATCCTTTTGATAAACCCCTGGCACACGACGTGCGGTGGTTGCACAGGGCCGTAGCCGGTGCGTGTGCTGCAGGCTTCGGGGTTTCTTCGGCCTTTGGGGGGGCCTTGCGGGTGTCCCGGCGTACCGCGGAGCCCCGCGCTCCGCTGGAAGCGCGGTACGCCCAGAAATGAAGCCCCGAGGGGGTCGAGCGTGTAAGGGCGTAAATAGCGTTTCTGGCGGAGGAAGGGGCGAGAGATTTTAGTGACATTTTTGCGCGTCGAGCTCAGTAGCTTTTACCGGGAGCCTGGGAAGACGTGACTGCCGGCGGACAGCAGCGCTGTGAGCCCGCTGGGGAGCCGGCAGGTGTTCGGAGCGGAGGGGGAGGGATGCGTTCGTTGGGGAGGAGGCCCGGAGTTCACCCGAAAGTTATTTATTAAACCCAGCGGTGTTTAACCCAAAAAAAAACGCGGCCTGCGCTGTCCCCGGCCCGGTGCTGAACGGCCGCGCCCCGCCGCCGGGGGTGCCGCGGGCGGGAGGTCCGCCCTGCCTGCCGAGCGTGTCGCTGCCGGGTGGTTTGGGCAACAAACCTCTCGAAGACCACGGTGTAATGGAAGTGGAAATCCTTCGCGTTGCGCTCAGATTTCAGGCAGTCGTATCCTTCGTAAGGACGGAGCGGGTTTGACCAGGTGCAAAAGTCAAATTGGGGGAGTTTGTAGCTTTTGTTTCTGAAAGTGAGGACGTGCCTGCAATTACAGATTATTGTAAAAGTTAAAGTGAGAAGGAGGTGTCTGCTGACAGAATGCTCTTTGCGTATTTTGTACAGCCTCATGCTCTGTAACTTGGATGATTATTTTCTGTTGATCGGTGAGTTGTAACAATTTTCACCTCTAAGTGTTCCCAGAATGCAGTACCAGATACATATGGTGTTACAATAATTTAAATAATGATTAAGTCCCACAATAGCTTCAGATAATCTTTCAGAATACAGAGGTTTTTATTTTGTGCTATAAATCCTGTTTGAGCACTATTAAACTCTTTTAACTTTGTATCATAGTTTGCAATTCCATTGAGAAGAGCGTGTGGCCTGATTTTAATTTTTTGTTTTTAAAGGAAAAACAAAAGGCATAAGTGAACAGAACAGTTTTAGCCCTTTTCCCCTTAATGCCATTATTTTGAACTGCAGGCTGAAAAATTTTGCAAAGAGTTATTTTGCCATTTTGAAACCTCGGTTTCTAACAATTTTCCTAGCCCCCTTTTTGTGTATGTTTGTAGACATGAAATAAAATTTTATATAAATGTGTTACTTAAATATCATTTATTTGGCCAAACTTAATTATTTTCCACTCTGGCATTTCCTTTAACTCCTGAAAGAGAATAAGTGTACTTTGGAGGGTTTGGGCCCCCTAGTTGTTTCTGCTGTTTCAGCTGTGGAAAGACAGCAGATGTAAAAATTCACTCTTCTGAATTTTTCTCATAGAGATGAACTGATAATTGCTTCCTGGCTGGTGTATGAAGGAATAAGTGTAGGAAGGGAAAGGTTAGGTATAAGCACTGTTTTTTTGGTTTAATCATTTAGAATAGCTCAGTGATCAGAATTTGGATAATTAACATAACATGACTTCTTTAGCTTTTCTCATTAAGATCATAGCCATATGTTTGTTTTGTTAGCAGTATATACTTGTGGGCTTATCAGCACAGGCAGATAGATTTATGTTCCTATTAGACCTGGTATACTCAGTTTAGAAAGTACCATTATTGCACCTTATGGTAGTATTTAGATGGAATTTAAATTTACTTAGGAGTAACTCCTTTGGATTAATTTGGAGTGAGGTTGTATGTTTATTTTTAAATGAGGACATTAACAACATGCCCAAATATTTTTTTTTGTCTTGTCTGTTGTCGAGATTGATGCACATGGCTCCAGAATATATTAATACAAAGTGAATAATGTTTGTTGTGTAGCTTAGTTTCATTGCATTCAATTTTGAATAAGTTATTGTATTTAGTTTTGCTTGGTAGACCTTTGTGTGTTTGTGTGTGTATTGCTAGTTTCCTATCTAGAAACAAATGTATATTTCTTCACTTGTGACAAATTAAGACAGGTACTATGGATTAGAGAAATAGAAAGTTCGCTTATTGTTTAGCTGAAGTAACTTATTGTGTTCAAATGCAAAATTATGCAGAATGTGGCACCTTGGTTTTTTAAAAAAAATTAGTTATGAACTTCTCTTATATCCAAACTGTCAAGGTCTTTTAGTTAAGGGTCAATGAGAAGAACGGAGTCCATAATTAGGACATTTTCTCAACGTGAAAGAACTGTCTTCCTGAAATCTGAAAAAAGTACTTTAGCGTATACAGCATGTGCTGACTTGCAGGTGTCATTCATGTTTGTTTTTGAGTCTCTATACAGAAAGTTGTAGGGTTAAGCTTATTTACTGAAACAGGAGGAAATGTAAACAATGATGGATTACAAAACTGTGAAACTTTTTGTAAAGCAGAGGGTTACATCTTGAGCAAATAGGAAGTCTCCATAGAAAATTGAGTTCTAATCTTTGTGCGTTATCATTTCAAGACATTTTGCAACATGTGAAAAGAATGCAACCATGAAAGTGTCATATTCAGCCCCAGTGTTAATGAAGTGTTCAGATTAAACATACTGCTCACTTAAGTTCCAAACCTAGGTTTTCCCTCTTCTATCATTGATATATACTGCAGGTGCATGAACTAATAATAGAGCTTCAGCGTTACGTTGTCATGAGGTTAGCCTTATGGTAAAATACATTTTAAAAGGACTGTGATGCTAACTGTCAGATTGGGAGAATGAGATAGCAGAGTTGGGCTAACAATGGCCAAAGCTTTGTCATTTAAGTGTTCCGGATATCTTCTTTTAAAAAAGAAACACACCCAGAGAAACAAGAAATATGGGGTAGATAAACAAGTAAAAAAGAGGAAAAATGTCTACATTTATGGTAAAGGTTGGATTATATGCATGCTCTGTCTGCATTGTTGTGCACCAGTGCTTCATTAGTAAAATACACATCTTTGTAGGGAATTATTCTGGTTTCCCCTTGCAAGCCTTTCATGTTTGGGATATCTCTAACAGAGTGGTTGTTAATCAGTTACCATCGGTGCCAGGATATTGAACCTGGCTTAGTAAGTACAGTTTTGTAATGCTGAAGTTGGCTAGAAAAGGGAAGAAAATTTGTGTGGTGCCCAGAGTTGAATCAATATTAGGTCATCCTTCACCGGTGGTGACATTGGTAAAAGTTACATAATCTGTGACCTTTCTTGTTATGTGAGGGACTAAGCAGACCCTTGACTAGAACCGTCCAGACAGATCTGAACAATGTTGCCATCCTCAGTAGCCTGATGGAAAAAAGACTCTGGTTCTCTCTGGTTGCTCTTTTATTTTGTCCTTTTTTCTCTCCATCCCCATTTTCTTCTTATTTACCTCTCTTCTTGTTTTCTGTCCGGTACGTAGCTGGTCAAAACTTGAAGTTTTGTTACATGTTTTTTTTCAGAATATTCCTGATAAAAATTAGTCAAATTTGGGGTTGGCTAATAAAGCTTTATTCAGTTTTGTCTGCTTTTGAGGTAGGGCTGTGAGAAAGAGTCATCACCAGACACAGACAGTATTTTCTGTCTTTGCTCCTCTTTTTGTATTGTTTCTTGCTTGTTTTAAAAAAAAAATCTCAGACTAACTTTCTTTTTCAGGATAGTTTTACTGTCTTTAGCATGGCTGAAAAAGTGGTGACACAGCTTTTCACTTTTATGAAACATTTTTACAATTAAAGGGAGCAAAGGGTTTTGGCAAAATGCAACCCTTCACTAATGATTTCTTCTTCAGGTACTTTATTCTTCCTTTCTTCCTCTAAGTAAAGATTAAAACATTTTGAATGATAGCTGTTGCCATGGGCCTAAGCAATAAAGCAGATAAAGGTTTCTGAATACATAACCTCAGACCTTGTTTAGCCTCTTAATACCATAGTGTGAAAGATCACACTAGCATCTTTATGTGTCTGGGACCATTTAGTTTGTTGAAGTAACACAGCGCGTATACATTGTGTCTGAATTTATCACTTTGAAGCAAGTATTCTTCTCAGATAGCGAGAGTGTTGTCTACTTGAGAACATTGTCCAAATAAAGAGATTACCTGGGCAGATTTGAAGTTCACCCACGTAAAAGTTTTGTAAAAATTATCTTCGAGAAACATGGTGAACAAAATAGTTGGGGTGTCACAATTTGTTGGTCAGACTGTTTTAGAAATACATATGCTGTCAGTTTTCCAACTAAAAATTCATATGCCTCTCTCCTACTTTGAGGTACCTTCTCACGACTTTCCTCTAAGACTTTTCATTAATAGCATGCAAGTTGCAAGATCTTTTCTCGGTGGTGATGCTATTCACGTTTTGGACATGCATTGGAAGTTACGGTAAACTTTCTTATAGAGGTGCGGGCGGGAGGGTAAGGACTGACGTTAAGTTTGCTAGGACTTATTGTCAAATTGCCCTAATTGTCTAAATTGAAGTTGGTTAGCTTTTTTGCTTGTGCTCTGCCTTTCTCTCAAAAACTACATCTTATTGAGCACTCATCTTCAAAACATAGATTGAAGACAGTAGCTTTTCCTAGGAGCCTTAGTTTTCTTCCAAAAGCTGAGTTCAGCAAATGTATTCTAGAAGTAGAGAAATGCTGTACTTCCATTAAGAGTAAAACATTCTAGACTCTGAGCAACATTGATTTTCGTCTTTCCCAGCTGTAAGGCTGTCATAATGTTGAGTTTATCCATAGAAACTAGGAGATCTCCCTCTTTGCCATTTATAGCTATAAGTCTTCACAAAAGCATTTCTTTCTGATTTTTGATATGGTTATGATGTTAAGCTTTTATGTCTACTGAATGTCATCTGTATAATTGTCCAATTTCCTTTTTATAGTTTCACAGTGCTGAATAGGAAACTTTACCTTTTATAGTTAAAGAGGAAGAAAGTCCTGGATTTTTTTTCCCTGTTTTTTAATGTGCACTGTGGAAAAAAAATTGGCCACTGGAATCTCACTGATAAAGCAGACTCTTTTACTTACCGTTTAATTTGCTTGCTATGATACCGTTTCTTTTGAACTGAAATAAGTGGAAACACTGAAGTTAAAAGTATGTAAAGCAAGAGATTATTTCCCAACTATACAAGAATGTTTTAATTAATACCTACTTATGTAAGAAATGGCCGTTAATTTGGAGATTTATGTGTTCTTACAGAGCAGGGGTGAGAAGTCTTGTCTAATTGGTGTTTCTTGATTTGGAGTTTACTTACCCAAATAGGGTTGAAAGACTTCCATCTTTGCCCATGCTCCATGTCTGTAGTTCATATTTAGCAGTACAGAGCTTATCCAGTACATTATGCTTTCATTTACTTTTCTAGGTTTATATTTGTCTCCTTTTCCAGTACTTTGGGAGAACTTTCTGTGCTACTCACCTTAAAAAATCAGTGATCGTGGATTTCATGAGAACTAAGTTAGTTCTGGGATAACGTTTAGTTGGTTTGCTGGCTTCATTAACTGGACAATAACAGAATATATGATCACCAGTCCATGTTTTGGAGAGTCTAGCATACAAAAGCCCGATATGCAGACATAGAATTTCTCACCTTTAATGTTGATTTAGCCGTTTCTGTCTGTCTGTTTGCGTGTTTGTTTTTTTCAAGTAGGAGAGTAGAGCGTCTTTGTTGAGAGGTACTTTTATATCCTATTAGGATTTCACCCATAGCTTTTCTGAAAATGTCTATCGTGAAATTTATAGCACTTTAAAAGCAAAGAAGTTTGCTGTGCAGTACCTTTATGAAGTGAAAGTTAAGATTTTCACTTTGCTTTTTCAGTTGTTCAAGCTGAAAAAAGTTTATTTTGAATATGTGGGAACATTTTTTTTTCCTTATTCCAATGATTGAAATAGTTTTGCTAATAGCATTTAAAAATTTTTTTTTTGAGATAAGCAAGTATAGTTTTTGTTGTCTGCAATTTGTGAGATTGATATTATGCAACAGGAGGACATGATAGCTAAAAATGAGAACAAATTTTAGCTCTTGTTAGAATATGTGTAAGTTCTTGAAGTGCAGATTAAAGAAAATAAATAATTTACAGTCTGTTGCTATGTGTAGATGTAGTATTCAACTCTACCTCTTGTATTGAAATGGTCTTACATTAGTAGTCTTGTGTATGACAGAATTCTTCTTGAAAGTTTAGCAGAATGCCTGAGAAAGCTGTCTTTGGAGAATAGGAGGATAATAAACAACCATATGGGAAATGAGCAGGTAGCAGCCTTTTTTTCTGTGGGATGTTTTTAATTAATAAAAAAGTAGCATAGCCTTTTAGGTTGGTTTTGTTGTTTTTTTTTTAATCACAAAGCAATTCAGAAAAGTAAGTTGAAGTTTACAAGGAACAGTAATTGCATAAAAAAGTGCTTGGGAAAAACAGGCTTAATTAGTCAGTTATCTTAGAAAAATCTCATTTTGCAAGTAAGACATTTGTATGTGATGTTTTCTTTCCTTGTTTTGTTT